GAAAACCCCCTTTATTTGAAAGGAGTCAACAAAATATTTGCAAAAACACAAAACTAGTTACAGTATCATCATGCAAGGACACAAAGACAATTTTTAGGTATTTTGAGATTTATAAAAACTTGGATGAGACATCTAGAATGTCAAGGCTTGGGAGGAGCAGATATAAGGGTGCATTTTACATTTGATTTTGAGGAAATCAACATACTTTGGGTAAACCATGTGGAGCGATTCTCACAAAATCATAAACACAAAAAACTTGCTGTGCTACAAATTGAAAGACATCACCACTGTCGTGAAGGTAAATGCTACTAATTAGTGAACTAAATGACACATGCAGAATACTTTATTAATCCCTGAGGAAATTATGTGGTTACACATAATTAATGTTAATTAATGCAAATGAAATTAATTTGATTTACATTAAAATTAATGTAAATGTCAATGAAAAGGTGACAGGCATGTTTTCTGGAGTGCATCTTGCCAAAACACCTAGTGTGACAGACCTCATTCCAAAAGGTTGGACAGGATGTGAGATTGAACATTACACAACTTTTTATTTATGTCTGTTCCCAGAGGCCATTGTTGAGTTGTGGGCAGTACACCATCGACAGCTGGAGTGCATCTAGGATCCACCATACATGGAAATTTTTAGGTGTAGGGTGAATTCCAGTGTTTTCTGACAGGATGTCAGGTAAAAGGTGTATTGTGTATATTTGTCTGTAACAAGTTAAGCATGTGATCGTGTTATCATTGTCATTAAGTTGATGATTATGTTTAGGTCCCCACCGTGCAGCACAGCTTTATCGCTGCAGTGTGAAGCTCTGACAGGAGCTCGGTGCTGTATTTGGTTGTCAGGGATGAAACACAGGGTTGTCTCTGCGAATGCTTCAACTCTAACTGTTTGGAAAAACTGTTGAACCTAAACTTTGATTGTGTCCTCTGTTTTATGTTACTTGAATTTTCTTTTAGATGTACATAACTTTAATCATCAGCTGTAGTTTTTAAATGTACTTTAGAAATAAACTTGACATATAATTATGACATTTTTGGTTTATTTTGAGTTGGCGTGCTTGTGCTTTCCTTGTGCCATTGTTGATAATTTAGTTCAGCTGGGTCTCGTTCTACATGGCTGTCTGCACTTCCCTGAATTTCCCTCTGTGTATACTTCAGTTGCCACATTCTGTATATACTAGAGATGGCACGATACCACTTTATATGTCCGATACCGATATGAATCCGATATAGTGTATTTTTTAATCATTAAAACAGTTTTTTGAATATCTTGCTGCATTTTGTATAAGTTCATTCTCAAGTTTAAAAAACAAAACACTAAAGCTATTCTGTTATGCCTGTATGCAAAAAACACACTGCACTCAAAATATTTCATAGTTCAGCAATACTGATCAATCTAATAAACTTAAATCCTCCATCCTCTCTATTCTGGTATTTTAAAGAGTACTTTTTAAAGAGTATGTTTAAAGTGTCAGGAGGCTTTTAAGAAACTGAGTGGAAGGACTTGCTTCTTGGAGGACTTTGAGTCACCAAATACATTTCTCACTTCAAAAATGATGTGTTCAATTTATTTCTAGAAGCTCAAAATCATCTGCAAGTATTCAGGCCTTTATTTTACCTCAGATACACAGCTAGAAGCTGCTCCTGTTCCCTGTCAGTCAGTTCCCTAAAATTACTTCTCTGCCTCCACAGATGTCTTCCCAACTCTGCTAACCAAACCTCAAACTGCCCCACTGACATCCTGAAAAATGCACGAAAGCGGTCATGGTACAGATTTAAACTCCTGGATCAAATCTCACCGGCGTTCTTCTTGTGAGAAAGTGAACCCAAAAACTCATCCCAAAAAATTCTGAAATTCTTGTAGTCTTTTGCATAAAGCTTAGTTTTTGTTTTGTTTTTAATGCTCTGAAATAATCTGGGGTGCATAGTATTGTGTACATGTGTGGTCAACTTCTAAATTCTGCCAAGATTTAAAATAGTTCAGTGCTTGCCTCATCTCCTACAACATTAGTTTCCTGTTTGCTATGGTCACACCCCTCTGTTTTCATCAAAAACTGTATGCTCAAGGGGGGGAAGCTATAAACAACTGAAACGTAAAGCTTGCAGAAACACCGAGATGAGATGAACAGACTTCAAAGTCCAATACAGCACTATATGTACACGGAGAAGGGGAAGTGGAGAAAGCCGGGGATAACGAGACACAGGTAAACTAAATTGAAGGATGAGCCAATGAAAGGGTAGCTAAAATCAAGGCACAAGGAAAATGCAGGAAACCACATAAACAAGTGAACCAAGAGTCAAATAGAATATTTACATAAATAAAACGAAAGTCCAAAAACTTAAAAACACTTGGTCAAATCACCCAGGACCGTGATACACTGTATGCTTTTGACTTTATTAGGTGGCGTAAAAGGAGAAATCGTCAGCTGGATAATTACTGGATTTCTACCTGAGTGGTGTTTGAGCCAGAAAACAAGGATCAAACTCAGGCTGGTTGTTGCCACATTCTTTATTTTTTTTTGGCAGAAAGTACAACAATAAAGATAATTGTAGGGCCTCTACAATATATAGTGCCTCAAAGCAACTTTTGGTGTGAATTGGCACTATATAAATAAAATTGAATAAAGAAGATGGAGTAAAGTAGTGTTGCTCTGTGTGTCTGCTGAACACTGTCCTCAAAAACAATGTTCAGCATTTGGTCGGCAACTGGTCATTCAGTCGTAGTCAGCATGGAAACCACTCTTGCCCTCTCGTGATTCTGTTCGCAGCCAATCTTACTTCTTACACCACTCATTAGATTTGTCACCTGAAGTTACCTAATGAGTCCAGGACTTGCCGATGGAGGCTTCACCTTCGTATTTGGATCCAACTGATCTGCGTCTGCGAGCTGCTGCATTACAATTCTGGATGTTCAAACAAAATACAACTGAATTCACTTCATGTTTTCAGTGTTGTGCTGTGAGTGTAGTTAAGTGAGGATAAAAATGTACAGAACAATATAATCTAGTAATAAACAGGTGTTTAGTTAGAACGTAACACATGCACCTGCTTTACTTAAAGCACCAAAATGATTATATATGACCATATATGTTAATGGTGTGCTTTGGAACAATGAATAGATGGTTAGGTTTGTGCATAAAAAATCAAGCCCTCCTGTAACAGGTGGGATGAATAGGTAAAGCTTGCTATGAGTGTTTGACAGCGAGGCCTACCGGTATGCAGCTGGTCTCCTCTTTGGGACACAGGTGGAGTTTGCAGTGCAGGTAGACTTCACCAGAACCCCCAGTGAACCAGAACATGTTGAACGAAAACAAGGTGGAGGTTCCCAGTCCGTTTTCCTCCACTGCCACTGTCAGGTCAGCGGGGTTCGCACAGCTTTTCATAACCACGAAAATACACGTTATTGAGGAGCTGATAAAGGTGATCAAAGTGAACTTAAGAGTGACTCTGAGTATCTCTCACCATTAATGATCAGATCATGTCTTGGACTGCTGGTAGGTGATGCCTGGTTGGTTGCCCAGCAGGAGTCGCTCACCACAGTGACCATGCTTCCATCCAGCCCATTAGTCTCCAGCTCTACCCAGATCCTCTGGTTCAGTCTCACTTCACTGTTCAGCTGCACAACTTGTGTCCGCCCAGCGTCGGTGTAGGCCTTGATAACAACGCAAAGACCAAGTCCAGATCGACTTCTCCTGTGTTCACAGTCAGCCGAACATCAACACTGCAACCTTCAGAATCAGAGACTGGTTTGTAGTGGCTGCTAGGTATTGTTTGAATATTTGTTAAAATGTGGGCATTGTTAACAGTGCAAATGTGTGCATTCTGCAGGTCCGTTGCACAGAAGATCTCATGTGGAGCTTGGAATTACACTCTGAT